TTTTAAAATTAGGTAGCTATAATGTTTTGCTGGTGCCCCACTGTCTGCTACTGACTTGGTTTTATGTGAAAAAAAATAATATGCAAGTCATATTTTATTTTATACTCCTTGTGCCTGTGCAGGTTCTCTTCCTCCCACAGTCCAAAGACATGCAGGTTAGTTTAAATGTCATTTATTAATTAGCCATTTGTGTGAATGTGAATGCAAACGTTTGACTGTCTCTCTGTGTTCACTCGGTGATGGAATGACGACCTTTCCAGAGAGTTTTTTGGCTTAACACAGTGCAAACACATAAGAGACGATCATGTCCCATGAAAGTTGCAAATACTATAATCATGGTCATGGTTCTGGGTCCTTGTGACACAGCATTTTGAGTTTCTTTGTTTTGGTGATATTTTGTATTATGGTTTATGTTCCTGTTCATTAGTAGTCTTAGCTTGTTTCAAGTTTCTCATGTTCCTTGTTTAAGTCTTTGATGATTAGGCTCTCTGTTGTGTCTTTGTCCTGTAGGTCTTTCTTCGTGTCCATGTTTATCCATGTTTCCCGAGCCCGTCATGTATCCTCTCACCCCCTTCTCCTCCACTCCTCTGTCAAGCTCATGTGTCAATCTGGTGTTCCTTTGTTTCCTGTTTTATTATGAAAGTCTTGCATTCCTTATTCAGTGTGTTTAGTTTTGTTTTCCCAGTCTCGTTGTGTATAATTCGTCTCAGCTGTGTTCCCCATGTGTTTTCTGTTGCCTCATGATTTTACTGTGTATTTAAGCCCTCTGTTTCCCTCTGTCCAGTGTTGCATTCTCCCTCATCTGTCGTGGCTGTGTGCTTCTCCGTGTGTTTCTTCGTTAGTTCAGTATTCCTGAAATTTCCCTGTTTAGTTTTGTATTATTTATTCCACTCAGCAAATAAAACTGTGTTTTTGTGTTAACGTCCTGCCTATGAGTCTGCATTTGGGTCCTTTCCTGCCTTCATTACAGTAAGTTTATGACAATAAAAACAATAAAGAAGCTTACCGCAGGGCTGGCAGGATGGTGGTCTGAGGTGACTTGTTTGGCTGATTAGTGTCGAGACGAGTCCTCAGGTCCACGTTAGTCAGAGCTCTCCATTTCTTCACCTTGTTTTTGGTTTGAATCCAGTCACCGCCATCTAATCTTTGGGGTTTCAAAGAAGGTAATTTGGTTATTTTCTATACACAACTTATGCTAAGAACTTGTGCAACATATACTAATTATTATTCATTCATACAAGAAATGATGGGGTATTGTTATCAACCTGCTGGGCGGGTGGGTGGGAACCTGATGGACACTCAGTGTTGCAAAGGTGCACCTAATAATAATCTAGGATATATTTAAATTTTAATGGCTTTGATCTCAACGTCAAGGTTAAAGTACAAGTTTTCTGAAAACCTTATCTGTGTGATAATTCTATAACGAGGTCATCTAGGCGTCTCAAATGATTGCAATTATCAACTCAAGGTCAAGGTCAGAGGTCAAAATCAATCAATTTTCCTGTAGACTCCTGGTGGAGCATAGGCCGTCTAGGTCAGAGGTCAAGTTTACTGAAAATCTTGTAAATACAAATTGATGTATGTAATAGATCTTTGTGAAATAGCAGGCAATGAAGTATAATCAGGTTTTGATGATGTTTTAGGTAAGACAAGTCAGGTAAGACTACACTGTGAATGAAAAAGGGTTCATATATATTAAGGTGTGATGCATGACATTTGATGCATTGTTAATTGTTGTTTTTGGTTTTTAATGTTTGTTTACTAGAATTCTTACGCTGATTGGGAAGACTAGAGAGAACATAGAAATTCCTTTTGTGTTGTGTCTGGCAGGACATCTGGCATTAAATCAAAATCAAATATGCAGTGCTACCTGTAATAGTGTGGCAGCCCATTGCAAATGCGGGAGGAGATGAAAGTAGCTCTGTTACATAATCTGATTGCCTCAAGTTAGGATTAGGGGCTGGTTTGGAGTTATCATCTATGATAATTTAGACCTCAGAGGATTAAACCTTTCTTTTTTTATCTGACGTGTTACTGACCGTAGCTGAAACACAGCATTGCTGGAAACCTCCCGAGACATGACTCCTTCCCTCTGACACCACTCTTTGTCCTCCTCATCCACAATGCTCAGCTCCACACTCTCTGTACCACAGTCACCACTGACACAGCTCCACGTGTCTTGATCGGTGCATGAGCGAAAGCTCAGCTTGTAGTGAAAGACCACCTGTAATATTGTAACAATAACACCTGTTGTGTTATTATAAAGAGTCCATGCACTGTTCAAATAAAGTCAGTGCTTTTAGGAGCCTTTTGGAATGTCAGTGAATTTGCCTTTACTTCAATCCTCCTTAAGTAATAAGTAAAACTCTGAGCCCCTATTTCAGACTAAACTAAAGAGTCCTGGCATTAATGGTATAGGTACACCTACCGTGACAGAGCCATTATGCGTCTTGTCTTTGGGGGTAAAAGTCATCACTGTCCCAAAGAAATGGTTAGCCTGAGAACCAAAGAGCAGCAGCAATAGAAAGAGGAGCAGCATGTTTATATCCATAGTTGTGATCAGTGAAACTGCGTAGCCCTAAAATAAAGTTTAAAATAGAGTAAAATAAAGTCCTTGACCCAGTTATGTATGGCTCTGAAATGAAACAAACAACGTGTTTTTCTCCCAGTACTCCTCCTACTTTTGTCTCCTCCCTTTACAACTATAACTATGACACAGTTATGTTGTAAACTGAGAGCAGACAAACGGAGGCTGTCTGTTCAGTCAAGGCTTCATCGTACAAGCACGACTTTTCTCTTGATCCTGTTTACTTAGAGTTAACTAACTTTTTGCTCTAATCAATCTGATTGTATTGAGGAGCCCCACCTTTAAAGTTCACATCTCTTTCTCTCTCACTCTCTTGTTTTTGACAGAGTAGCAGTGGAAATATGATATGTGGCTTCTGCCATTCCTGAACGTGAGAAGGAAGCAGAAGGGTGTGCCAGCTGCTACCACGATCCAAACATTCTGGCACTGCAGGAAGCTGACTCACCAACTGTTACAAGCTTTAATTATTCCCACAATAGTGCTGTGATTATGTGCAGATTTACTCTTAAATCATGCAGTCTGATGCAGTGTGCACTACTATGTTAAACAGCAACTACACATTACTTATAGGTCCTAAAGTACTTTCTTTTTTATCTTTATGTAGGACATTCCATTTCATTTCTATACAGATAATGGCTTCTGGATTTTCAGGCCATTTTCATTTCCATAGATCTAAAATGATGCAGTTTTGTCTCAGCCACTGCTCTGCCACAGTTAGGCTCTCCTTTGGCAGTGGTGCAACCCAGTGGGAACCTCTGGGATTGGAAAATAAAGTCATCACTAAAGTGCCAATAATGGCTCAGCAGCACATCGGACTACAATTAAATGTAGGTGACAAAGATTGAGTGTGTAATGTTTTCCATTGTCAGGTGATTGTACAGGTGATCTGGTGGAAGAAAACCTGTCTCCAAGCACAGACTCCAATGATAAATGTCACACTTGACACCAGAAAAAAAAGGAGCCAGGAGGCATCATTTTCCCAAAGATGGTGCAAAACAAAACAAAACTAATATGACCTCAACATCCAGCTGCAGGTTCAACAGATGTCTGCAGGATCTTCAGGAAAATTGAAAAGCAGCAGGGAATTCACTTAACTTTGCTATTTACAATATAAATAGCACAGTTGTCCGAGTTGGCCTAATGTTTTTCTAATGTTTAAGTTGGGGGAAACAAGCTTTTTCCTTTTGCAAAAAACAGCTGCAACATTTTAGCACCAAGGAAATGCTGGACACCAAACTGGAGCCACAGATGTCAGTGGCTATTGGAAGACCTGGCACAAGAATTTCAGCAGTAACTCACACATGCCCACATATTGTGGCTGCCATGATCTCTTTCCTATTTAAATTTCTCCAACATCTGGAAGTCATGCTTTGTCATATTTAGCTCTGGAATTTGTTAAAATGTGGGTTGGTCTTCAAAAGGCACCAGAACAGAATTGGCTTCACGTTGCATGAAAAGAGGACCGATGGAAATAACTTTAGCTCTCTAGTCATCACTTTGAAAGTCACCTACATTGAAACATAGTATGATGAGCTTAGACTACTTTACTTAGGATACTTTTTAGCCTTTTAACTGCAGACCTCTGAGGGGGGAGGGGGGAATGGAAATTGACAGACAAAACTATCCACTTGTATGTTAACTAGAAAACGTTTGCTCTTCTCCAAAGAGCTCCAAGAATAATAAATGCTGCTCTATCTGCAGAACAATCCCTCATATATTTGATACTCATGGTACAACTTGCTGGTAGCACTCCTGCATGTTTGGCTTTGATATAAATGCTAGAACCTTTAGCTGTTGGCATAGGTGTGTCTTTATTTATCATACTTACAGTGTCTCCATTGTGAGCAGACACACACAGACATGTCCATGTATGATCATGTACAAACTTGCTCTCATGTTGACAGGCAGTGAAAATAACCAGTTGCTGACAATCTGGTCTGATCGGTACATGCTGACCTCAGTACTGAGGTAGTTTTTAGTTGAAAAACCCAAATATTAACATTGTCAGTGTATAATCTACCACAGATGTGTCAAACTCAGTGTCACTAAAGGCAACACTATGAAATGAGAATCAGAGAGTGAGTTAAAATGTGCACAGAAATTCCCTCTCTGGTGGAAAAGGTCTGTTGCACTGAACACTGAATAAATAAGGAAACCAATAACATAGGTTCAAAGGTCATTGTCATAAAATGCAGTCAAGGAGTTGCTAAATGAAAAGCTCCTGTTGATAACAGTTCAACAGGGACTACTGTGAGTTTTAGGATACTGACAGACATCAATGTTGCCATAACATGTAAATGTGTTAATCAGCTGAGAATCAATGACAGCTGCACAAAAGTATCCAAAGAATACATCAGTGAGCAAAATGTTTCTTGAGCTATAAGAAATGAGGCTCTTAAACCAAAGTAATCATTTCAAAGTATCCATTTAATTTTTTTGAGCATATATATGACTTGACTTGTAAAGAGTCTGGACTGCCCAGAAAGTTAATGATAGACAATTTGTCAGGGCGAATTAATGATGTCAGTGAATTAAATAATTCCAAAATTATCTGTGTATTTTTAAAGAGATACAGATAACAAATCCAAAAAATGACAAAGAAGTTCACACAGGGAATAGAAAGATCTTGTTAAAGATAACGTGAAATGGTTCATTTCCTCATTTCAAACATCTAATATGATCTGGTATTCTGTTCAGTTCAATTCATTTTTATTTATATAGCATCACAAGAACAGGTGCCTCAAGGTGTGTAAGGTAGAGACCCTACAATAATACAGAGAAACCCCAACAATCAGATGACCCCTTATGAGCAAGCACTTGGTGAAAGTGGAAAGAAAAACAAGTTTTTAACAGGAAGAAACCTCCAGCAGATCCAGGCTCTGGGAGGGCTGCCAATTGCAACAAGCAATTAAGGGTGAGTCGAAAAAGAGCTGGTATCTTCTATCGTAAATAAAATAATTTTTTTATTGTTTATTTTTTTTAACAACTGTGAGCCAATTTGGGATTAGGATTATGGTTTAGAATGTCCAACATAAAAATGTCCTCAGCGAAGATCGACTAACGAAAAAACCACAGTGGTGAGAAATACCCGCCCTCTTACAACACTACATTTTGTACCATGTTGGTTGAAAATTTTCATATTTTTTGAGGTTTTTAGCTCTCACGCATGACGTTTTACTTTCACATGTTGTCTCTGTAGATATTTCCTTTTGCCAGTATTTAAATTTTCCTCTGATAAAACAGAGTCACCTGCATCTGGGGGAGTCTGCCTGCAGCTTTAATGAACAAGCTTGTACATTAATGCCATCATTTCACCAACAGATGGAGCCAAAGACTCAAAACAGTTCATTGACCATTTATGTGAGGCTTTGACAGTAAAATGCAGACCTGCATTATATAACATTTACATTTGTAGAAATTGGAATAGGACGCAAGAAGCGAGCAACTGAAAGTAGCTAGAAGACCAGTGATTTCCAGATTCTACAGGTTTGTTCTCCCCATCTTCATCCAAACCTCCAACTTTTTTCTGTAAAATTCAAAAACAAACCAAAAAGACAGGTGAACCACAGCCTTAAATAATGTGTATCATCAGAAAATCCTTTTAAAAATTTTGGAAAAGTAGCAAATGTTGTGACTCACAGAGCACAGGAGAACTTCGATTTAAAGCCCACAAGGCAATGCCAACAATGGCTGCGACGGCTCCAACACCAAATACAATACCAACAACTTTGCCAGCACCCATGCTGTCGTCACCTGCATGTAGAAGAAGGATAAACATAAAAGCTGACAATCTTTAAGCTGCTTTTAAGCTCAAACAATATTTCCATGACAGCTATTCACTTTAAAGCTATGAAAAATAATCATATTTACCTGATCCTGTGGACTCATATAGCACCTTCTTCTGATCTTCTGTTTCATTTACTATTAAATAACAGAGAAATGTAGCGAAAGATGTGGTAAATCCAAACATCAAACATAAGATTTTACTTCAACACATCAAATATCTAAATGAAGCTCATATATTCTGTTGCAAAAAAAAGCAATATGACAGGAAGTACAATTGTTAACCGTCTTTGAGCCACTGGTTATAATAAATAACTAATAATAAGAGTTTGAACTGCCATCATGATACAGGCCTTTGGCAAAATTCATGATCTGCATCAGCTCCTCTATATTTCACGTACTGAACAGAAGAGTGGTTGTATGTTCTGGGGTGGTTGAAGGCAGAACAGTTGTTGGCAGAGGAGTGGTGATTGGTCCTGAAAATATAATAAACAAATATGTAAAAATAAACAGTTACAGTAATCAATGAAGGAAATGCACATTTTTGGAGTTTACTCACTAATTTGAATGCTCACAATCACACAGCGTAGCTCAGAGTGATACTTGGCCGTACTGAGAAAAGAAATCCAAAACATAGTAATTAAAAAATGAAACAGTACAACATATATCCATAAAAATGGTGGTGCGAAAAATGTTTAAACCATCTGACTTTAACTCTGCCTGGACTACGAAGCAGATGGGATGGTTTTCTTCATCTTCACTGTCAGATGGTGTCCAGGTCAGGATGAATTCTCCATGTGATACAACATGTTTCACAACGCTGTGTGGTCCACTGAACAAAAGCTTTGAGACCCTTACAAAAATACACAAGATAGAGATTTGGCATGTACGGGTAAATCAGAGTGCAAACATCAGAATTTATTGCAGACTGTTTCATCACCGTTCTTTTTATTGTATCTTTTTACAAAAAGAAATACATCTTAAACAATATCTTTAAAGAGGAAACGAGCAAGCAAAAACAGCTCTCTATCAATGCCTCTGCTAAATAATTTTCCCAGTCCTGCATCTGATGTTTTCAAACACATCTATTTATTTATTTTTGACCTGCAATTCAAAACATTCTACATTGCAAACAAAAATCAAATAAAAATGTCTTGCACTGTCAAGGCCATCATGTAGGACATCTATGTAGCAATGCAACATAGGTGACATTGCATGGGTAGTGTAGGGTGATCCAGATCAAGTTATATTCCAACTTGGTTACTTGCCCTTTCTTGGGTAAATTAAATGTATATTTGGTAACCTAGATGGACATCAAAATTGGCCTTCCCATGACTCACTGTGAGGTTGTAGAACCACGTGGATTTTGTCCCAGCTAATCAGCAAAGATCGGGTTATGTGGCTGATACTGACATTATTGCATGTGGCCAACCAATAATGACCTAAAGTTTGTCAGAGTTCAGTGTCCCTCCAGAATTTGGGAAATTGGGTTTTTCACCCCAACCTACTCCCACTCTTGTTGTCATAACATCAAAACTAAGAGTAGTAATTTGATTAAACTCATGTATTATATGGTTTAATAATTATTCTATTTAGTAAAAGTGTAGTGTGAATCAAGACAAATGTTCATGAATGAATTTTTTCTTAAAGTTATGTGTTTTTCATATAGTTTTTATATACACAATTTTTTGGAAAGAAATGTATATTCTGAACAAGCAAGGAATCATATATGGCAGCGTTACTGATTTTGATTTGCAATGAAAATGAAAAACACTGAAAAGAGTCACAAACGTTTTTTTTTTTTTAAAAAAGGTTCTATATTATGCTCACACACATTCTAGGAGAAAGTTTGAAACAAAAATATTCTTTACATATGCCAGTGTTTTGTGTCTTTCTCTTTAACTCACATGGTGTTGGTTGCCTCTGCCATAATGGTAATATTCAATGTTTCATTAATATAGGCCAACAGCTGAGCCCCACTGACGGGGGTTGGAGGCAGAAACTTGGGCAGGTAGGCTCCCTCTGAACAGGATGGCACAGGCGGGTCCACTGGAACAAAACAAAAAGGTGGCATATTAATTCAAGATCATATCAGTTAGTGACTTAATTTGGCAAGCTAGGATTTAAAATGAGATATGATTTTGAAAGTTATTTCAACAACAAAAATATAGCCAAGTAGCTGTAAATGTAGCTGTAGGTGCTTCAAATGTAACAACGTTGTAACTTTGTGTGGGTCATGTATTGCTGTGTTAGCTGGTTATTGTGCCCCCAAATGCAAAGCAATTGAGTCAAGAGTCATAAGTAGTACAGAAATGCAAATCCAAGACCTACACAGTAAGTATTTAATTACTCTTCTGATGTCAGATGATTGCAGAAGAATGAGATGATCCACAGATGTAGACAACTGCATCTGTAGGAGTTTTCATCCAGGACTCTGAAGGACTGTGAAATAGTTAAGAGGTTAAAAGTTAACGACCTACCTATTAGACCAAATCTGATTGGTATTTTGCTGAGAGCATCACTGGGAGTCCTTGTTGTCTCCACATCATCACTTTGATGGAGAAAGATGGTCTGCTTGGGAAAGTCCTCCATCTCCAGCTGTATTGCATATGCACCTTCATCACTCCTACTCGCAGAATGAAAGGTCAGTTTGCAAGACTACAGGAGAAGGAAACACAGAGAGAAACCAGATACATGTTTATATAGCTGAATTTGTGTTTTATAAGAAGAAGCTATTTTGAAATAGCTTTTTAGGACATCTTTGAAATTGTCAGAAATTGGAAGGTGGCATGACCATGAGGCAAAACACAATAAAGTGTGTTCTAACCCACTGAGGTTTCAGCAATGACCCCAAATCTATATTTGGGGGTGTAACCTTTGGGTGTATGAGAGTTATTACTGTATTTTATTGTGATGTTATTCATTATTTATTAGATTAAATAATAACCTCAGAAGAATAATAACGTCTTAACTTTGTGACACTTAGCTTGAGACAGATGAAAATGCTT